AACAGGATATCACATAATAGGCAGAATATTAATTTCATTGGTGTTTTTTGTCTTTCTTCAGGTTATATGAAGATAACAGTGTGATTTACAATTGATGGTGTCTTAGGCTGGATGAAATAGGATTTGTGACATTATTTACTTACTTATTGTCTCTTACTTCCCCTGAGAATGTAAGCTCCATGAAACAGGGACCATGTCTCTTTCACTGCTGTTTTGTTGTTTCTTTTCACTCACAGTTTCTAGAATATTGCTATCACACAATGGATACTTAATAAGCAGATACTTGATGAAGGAAAGTGCGTTGTCGTTCTGGTGCCGTTGGCCAGGCTGCTTCCTCTGGTCCCCGTGTGGCTGCACTACGGTGGTCTCTATGTGCAGTGCATGCTCTTCCTGGTCATGTGGCCTTTTTCCACAGTGAGGATTGGGGCATTACCAGCCATGGCTGCCTCTTTCATGCATATCACACATGCCATTGGTGCTTCACCCACACCCATACGGATTCTAGGACCACCCAGTGCTCTCTTCCCTCAGGACACATGCCCCGCACCCTCTGTCCCTCAGAGGACTGGTGCATCTCACCGAGTCCACTTGCAGTTGGAGAGAGGAGGGGAGCGATGCCCTGTGGTGTGCTGGTAAAAGCTTAACAACCAGATTTCTGCCCAAGAAAGGGCCCTTATGTGTAGTATTTGCCAATTTCTGTGGTGGAAATACTCCCCATCATGGCCAATTTCAGGCTATTGTCATGAAGTCAACCAGCTTGCAAAATTGCTGAAAATTTAAAAAATCAGTTCTTCCAAGCTGGCTCCAGCACACCGTTGGGACACCCAAATCTTCTTTCCCTGTGGCCTGAGTTCATTGTTGAGTGCCAGCTCCATGTCCCCACCTGCCTGGAAGAGCATTCCACCTCAGCCATGCTATCGCCCTACATCCAACCTGGTGTCCCACCTTGGCCCTCTGTGCGGCAAATTTGAGCAAGAAATGGGCGCGCTGTGCTGTGGAGCTACCCCTCCGCTTTCCAATACACTGACTCATTTCAGGTCTTAGTTGCTGCGGCCATAATGAAGGAGGGAGCCAACGGGCTTGTAGGGGCTCTTTCCCTGTTCTCATCTGAGATTTTATATCTACATTCCATCTCATTTGCTGCTCTTTCAAAACAGTCTCTTGATTTCCCTTTTCCTGGCATTCTCAAGTTGTCCCACTAACTACAGATCAGAACTCCTTGTTCTTTTTTTTTTTTTTTAAGTTTTTATTTATTTATTTGACAGAGAGAGAGACAGCGAGAGAGGGAACACAAGCAGGGGGAGTGGGAGAGGGAGAAGCAGGCTTCCCGCGGAGCAGGGAGCCCGGTGCGGGGCTCGATCCCAGGACCCTGAGAAGGCAGATGCTTAACTGACTGAGCCACTCAGGTGCCCCATGGAACTCCTTGTTCTTAACTCTGCATCTGCTTTGTTCCTTACTGAGGCAGCACCAGGCAAAGCCTCTCATTCCAAGCCATCACCACTGCTGCTGGTGCCGCAGGCCCTTGTCACTTCATGAACAAGATCCCACTGCCCACTCCGTGTGCTCCCTGAAGCACTGCTGAGAACACAGCCTGTGTTCTTTCCTGGCTCTGAAGCTTTCAGCAATGCCCTGCAATTGTTGGAGCCCTTCTGCCTGACTTTGAAGCTTCTCTCAGTACCGGCTTCATCCAAATCCACCTTTACGACCCACACCTTCCAAAATGAACTTAGGGCTGCAGGCACCCTGCTCTCTGACTACCTGTTCCCCTTTTCTCTGTGCCCCACCTTGTACCGTGCGAGACACCCCCTGTCCCCCAATACCCCATAGCATCTGTTGAATCCTGCTCCCACCCTCAGGAACCCACACAGGTGCACCTTTCATGGGATACCCTGCTTTTGCTGAGTGACATCCTGTCTGGACTGCTTATTTTTGTCTTTGGTTCTCTCTTTTTATTTGTAGCTGTTTTGTTGAGATATGACTCAACATACCATACAACTCACCCATTTAAAGCATATAAGTCAGTGGGTTTTAGAATTTTCACAGGGATGTGTAACTATCATCACAATCATTTTTAGAACATTTTCACCAAGCCCAAGGCAACCACTAACCTGCTTTTTGTCTTTAGAAGTTTGCCTATTCTGGACATTTTGAATAAGTGGAATCGTATAACGTGTTGCCTTTTGTGTCTGGCTTATTTCCCTTAGCATAATGGTTTCAGGTTCGTGCATTTGGTAGCATGTATTAGTACTTTGTTCTTTTTTACAGCCATATAGTGTTCTGTTGTGTAGATAGACCACATTTTACTTACCTATTAGTCATTTGATGAACATTTGGGTTCTTCCCACTTTTTGGCCATTATGGATAATGCTGATAAGAGCATTCATGTACAAATTTTTGTGTGGATATATTCATTTCTCTTGAGTAGATACCTGGGAGTGGAATTGCTGGATCAAATGGTAACTCTCTGCTTAATGTTTTGAGGAACTCCCAGGCTGTTTTCCACAGTGGTGGTGGAACTTTATATTGCCATCAGCAATGTATGAGAGCTTTGATTTCTCCATATCCTTGCCAACATTTGTTATTATCTGACTTTTGATTATAGCCTTCCTGGTGGGTATCAAGTGCTATCTATCTCATTGTGGTTTGAATTTGCATTTCTCTTATGAGTAGTGATATTGAGCATCTTTTCATTTGCGTATTGGCCATTTGTATATCTTTCTTGGAGAAGTATCTGTTCAGATATTTTTTTGCTCATTTTTAAAATTGGGTTATTTTTCTTTGTATTATTGAGTTGTGGGAATTCTTCATATCCCTTGTCACATGTATGATTTGCAAATATTTTCTCCTATTTTGTAGGTTGCCTTTTCACTTGCTTTATTGTGTCTTTTGGTACATAAAACTTTTTACTTTTTTTTTCTTTAAAGATTTTATTTATTTATTTGACAGAGACAGAGATAACGAGAGCAGGAACACAAGCAGTGGGAATGGGAGAGGGAGAAGCAGGCTTCCTGCTCGATGTGGGGCTCGATCCCAGGACCCTGGGATCATGACCTGAGCTGAAGGCAGACGCTTAACGACTGAGCCACTTAGGCGCCCAAAACTTTTTACTTTTGATGGAAGTCCAAAATATCTAATTTTCTTTGGTTGCTTGTGCTTTTGGTGTCTTATCTACAAATCCACTGCCAAAGCTGAGGTCATAAACACTTACCTCTGTATTTTCTTTTATTTACCCTTATATTGTTTTAGCTCCTACATTTAGGTCTCTGATCCATTTTGGGTTATTTTGTATAGTGTGAGGTAGCTGTTCAACTTCCTTCTTTTGCATATCGAAATCCAGCTGTACCAATGTCATTTGTTGAAGAGAATAAATGAGGGTTCTTTCCCCCATTAAATTGTCTTGACTCCTTGTCAAGACAATTGAATGTAGATATATAGGCTTATTTCTGGATTCCCGATTCTCTTCCACTGCTGCGTATGCTTGGTCTTCTCTTGTCCTATATTATTAATTAGCTATTTGATTTGTATTTATTTGAAATACTAGAGGGACTCAGTTGTTATTATTATAATCTTTTGTTGCTAAAAAGTGTTCACGGTAAACAGTTACAACACAGAAATGCCCAAAGTGAAAGTCCTGCCCCACCTGCACCTGGACCCCACTTGCAGGACATAACCATCGTGTTTCCTCTGTAGCTTTATAGATGTTCACTTCTGACCAGATACGTGTATTTGTGTATATGCATATATGTGAAAATTCAAATGCACGGCCACATTTGTGAATGTATTCTTGCGCTTACTGACATATTTATATCTGTATGTCTGCATTTCTACAATTGCATTTCTCTTTTTACAAAATTGGACTATACAAAGGGTTCTATGACTTTAAACATCAGGAGGCTATCCCATACACCCTTCCATGTCAGTCGTACATGTTTTACCTCATTCTTTCTTAATGGCTCCATCATATTTCACAGACGGTATATACCATCATTTCTTCAACCAGTTCCTTATTTATGTTTTTCCTTTTTTTCTTTTTTTCCCTATTCCATTTCTGTTGTGTACATGTGGGAGCACTTTTCTCGGCTGGGTACCTGGAAGTGGAGTTGCTGATCATTGCTTTTGTCTTAAAGTCATTTTTAACGTTTTCCCCTCAACTGTGCTTTATGATGCCTTGCACATATTAGGTACTTAATAAATATTTACTGAAGTGAACTCTTAAGGGTTTTTAGTCTGGATTTATCCCTAGCTTGCCATTTCATTTTAGTAAGCTCTTTTATGACACCCTTATGCCTATTTCACTTCCTCTGAAATGAATGAAAATGTTGGTTATCCAGTCTTCATTAGGCGGAACTGTAGTGGAATGAGTCAAGCAGTGTTGTGATGTCTACTCTGTGTGTGATGCTGGGGTTATGCAGAGAGGAGTGGAAGGTCACCCCAGCCTTTGAGGTGTTTGCAGATCTTTAGGATGAGGCAGGTAGGACATATGGTACTTCCTTAAGAGCACACATGTGTTATGATAGGAGTGAAAAGGAAGGGGAGGATTGGTGCTTGCCTTGGGTGCTGTCAGGGAAGGTTCCACAGATGAGGGACACTGAGGTGCCCTCAAAGGAAGGGGAAGCTTTGGACTGGTGGAGATGTGCTGGGGCTGGACGGCTGCTGGTGGTTCTCGGCCAAGGAGCAGTGTAATGGATGCAGAGGAGGTGAGGAAAGTGATTCCATGGCGTGCAGGGTGTGTGCGGGGAGCAGTAGGAAACTACTGGAGAGCCAGCAGGGGCCCTGCTGTGGTCAGCCTGGAATCCAGACAGGTCTTTGGCACTAATCTGCTAGGTGCTGGGCCACCTTGAGAAGTTTTGAATAGAATTATATTCTTGAAGTTGGTCTGGAGGAAGTGGTGTGCTCAGTCAACCGGGGGCATGGATAAAGGGGCATCTTCATTTGTAGAGGTTTCTGTGATATAACTTCTTCCCTCTCCCTCTCTTCCCATCCCTCACTTCTTCCCTTAGCTGTCTGAAAATGTGGTTAACCGCATGAAGGATTCCAGCCAGTCTTGCCAAGCAGGCCAGCCTACTTCCCCTCCTGCCCCTCCACCTTCGACATTTGGCACCTCTAAAGGCCCAGAGAAAGGTATGGTGGTTTGCAGGGATTCTGTGGAGGGCGGGAGTGGGGTGTGAAAGGAATGACAAACAGCCTTCCTGTCAGAACAGATTTGACAGCTAATGTGGCTCCTGTTTGTTTCTGGGTGATGTAAGCAACTCCTTTCTGATAACTGCTTTTCAGGAGAGTGTGGCTTTCATGCGTGACAGATGCTGTCTGCTCTGATGAAAGCAGCACATTTAGTCAGAGTGCCTGTGACTGGGGCTAGACTGGTTTCCCTCACTGTTTCAGTTTCTCCATATGTAACAAATGAGGCGAAAGGGCTTGGTAACTCAGGGAAGAAGTTGGTGTTAAGGATCCCTAAGAGACACATTGTCATTACTGTTCAGTATGGTTCAAAGAGTGATAGGGATTTATGTGAATTGGGCCAGCTTAAGGAAATTGAGTTGATGACTTGACCGTTGACCTCAGTACCTCGAACCAAACACTCACATCAAGTGGTCCTGATCTGGCTCCTGGGACGGTTCACCCTGGGCTTCTAGCAAGGCCTGCCACCCCGTACCTTACAGGGATTCCTCTTCCCATGCCCATGCCGGGCTCACAGCTTATTTGTTCCCTCCTCTGTGGGGTCCATTACAAATTAAGAAATTTGTGCTTTTCTCCAAACAATGACTTTCAGCAAACACAAAAGAATGAAACAGTTTAAAAAGGGATATAAGGTACAGAAATATTAAGATATTACAAATAAATTTGGACAGTCTTTGGGGCAGCTGCTACTCTCTTCAATAAATACCTCTTTATGAAATCTGGGTCTTACCTAATCACCTGCAACTTGACTTTTCTGCCAGTCTTCCTTATTAGGTTGTAAGACTGTAGACGATATCCCCACCACTCAGTGTTTACTGACTACTGGCCAGGGATCAGGACAAGTGCCTCGTGCTGGTGCACAACGATGTGTAGACAGGGATGCCCCCCCTTGTGGCACACACGGCTCTAGTTAAGGAGCCAGATGTATAACCCTGTAGGTTACATGTATCATGATGAGGCAACACTAGAAGCATGACCATGGCTAGGATAGCACAGAGGAGTGACTCGTTATTTTAGGGAGGGGCTTCAAGGGGAGATGATGTTTAAACTGGATTTTGAAAGAGCAATGGTAGATGGGCAGTTCAGGCATGGTAAACCGCGTAAGTATAGTCCCAGAGGTGTGGCGCAGCTTGGCCTGTGTGGGGCCCTGGAAGTGATTTGCTGTCTCTGGAGTACAAAGTACAAGGAAAGGGGAGCGCTTGGGGCAGTGCTCAGGGGCCAGATTACAGACCTCTTCATAGAGGCCAGAGAGCTCTGCCTGCATCCTTAATGGCTGGGGGCTCTAGCCAGGGCTGCTACCAGCTTGCCTCTCTGTATTGTCTGCCTCAGGGCTTCCCGAGCAGTAGAGCAAACTGGTACCAGGTTTGGACCCATCCTGAGATCTTTTTGAATATCTATCAGTGAGGGGGCAAATGAGATTCTTGAAACTCTCACAAGACGCTCTTGTCCTTTAAAAATGGGGTGGCTCTCCACGATATCTCTAGCAACTGACAGGAGCGGTGGGGGGTGCGAGGTTGAAGAGGGCTCTAACTTAACCCAGGACACTTGAATAAACTGGATTAACTGGTGAGAGGGAGAAAGTGATGAGAAAGCAAAGAAGGCCAAAATCTAACATGCACACGTCAGCTTCAGTTTCGGAAGATGAAAGAAGCACTGGTCTCAGTTTTGGTAAGTTTCATCAGTTTAAGGAGCAAGAATGGTGGTTCATTTGTCATTTGGTTTTAGTTATAACAAAGTATTTTGCTGTTTAAATGATTGTGAGTTTGAGTTTCTGAATGCTGAAGAATAGTCAGCATAAATGGGCTATCTTGAAGTTGACTAATTTTAAGATATTTTTACTTTTAAAATCAGTGTTTGCTTTCATTTTAGTGATGGAACAAGATTAGAAAAAGAAGTTAAAATTAAATCCTTATGTCATACCATACCTCAAAATAAATGTCAGAGGAAAGAAAAGATTTAAATGTATGAATTGAAGCTTTAAGAGCACAGTGATAGTACATATAAGTATAATAAGTAGACTTCCTAAGCACTCCATCAACTCCATCAAGAAACCCTAAATTAAGAAGAAAAGTGGGAAATGTAACTCTAAGGAATTAGACAATTTAGAAAAAAATAAATGAAGAATGAATGATAAACTAGGGAAGTGTAACATGACAGAGTATTAACAGTCCTAACATAGAGAGTTCTTAGAGCTCTTTGACAACTCAATAGAAAATGTGTACGAATGGTTGTAAACATTTGATGAGGTTCTCCACTTTGCTAATAGTGAAGGACACACATTAATGAGTGCTCCCAAGGGTCAGGGAAGTGGGCAGGCTCTTACACACAAGGTGGGAGTGTGGATTAGTGCCACATTCTCTGCCACAGGTAGATACATTATTTTCCTAGTTATGAAAAAAAAGTTGTATGAAAAGCAAAAGTAAATATGGTAAATTATATCTCAATAAAGCTGTTGTAAGTAAACAAATAAGAACAGAGGGCATTATGTCAGAGTAAAAACTGGGCAGCAGTTTACTATTTTTTATTCCCATTTGAGAACCTGGCATGCTACCCAGGAGCACTTAGGTGTGCCCACCTCGCCAGGTGGTACCGCTGTGCCCATCCTTCTGTGAGAGGTAGTCTGAAAGCATGAAACGTAGGATGATTACTTTTGGAAGTGCCTCCCAGAAGGGTTGAGTGCTGGAGCCTCTGAGTTCAACGTGCTTTAAAAGGTCTTGGCAGTGGAATAGCAAATCCTCACATGTTCTTTCACAAAGCCTGGTTCTTCTACAGTATTTTTGTGCCGTCCTAGATGCTGTTGCTTTAGAAACCTGTGATGGAGGGGGAGGACATTTGGCCAAGGCCACAGAAAAGTGTGGAGCTTTGGCTGAAAGATGGTTTGGGAAGGGTGAAGGCTGTGGAGGAGAGGGGAGTAGCAAAACCTTCAGTGTCACCAAGTGGTGGAGAGACAAGTGGACTGGGTTTGCTTGGAAATCACCAAGTTCATGGCCATCCAAAGGTAGCCCTGTAACAACTTAAGAGCCCATTAAGATTAGAGGTGATGAAGGTCAAGTGATAGATAAAATGTCATTAATATGAGGCATTTGCCACATTCAGGGTTAGAAATCTGTAGAATGGGCTCCTAAGGGAAACATTTAAGGAGCTCCCACTGCCAAAACGGAGACCTTGGAGGCTGTCCTTTGAGCATGAAGCAGAGTAGTGGGTTCCTGCAGCCCTTCCGGGCCTGTGTTTGGGAGATGACCTAGAATCCAAGTAGTTGTAGAGTGAGGAGTGATGGATAGGGAACACTGCACTCAAGTAAGACTGGCTGGATCAACGATGTGTTCTGTGTCTGTCCTTGGGGCACATCCATCCAGGGAGGTCCACTCCTGAGCCCTTTCCTGGATGACTGCCATGCCTTTGTGGATCTTAGGCTGCTGCTGACTGGCCTTTTCTTCTCGTCCCTTTGCAGACTCCAAACTGCCCAGGTCTGAGTACGGTGGTGGCCAGCGGTCTTCCGGGATGGAGGAGGATTTCCTCAAGAGGTAAGCCCAAGTATCCATTCACCCCTGGCACTGTGCTCTGACCAAACGCTCTCTCCTCACCAGGTACCTCCTCCTTGCCTGAAGGCCCAAGGGTTTGTCTCACATATTTTGTCTTACTGAGATTGCACAGGAATCCTGTAGTTTAGGTGGCACTGGTCCTAGTTTAAAAATGAAGAAACACCAAAAGTGTCCTGGGGGGTTGACTGCTGATGTTCTTAAAAATTCACTTTATTTAAAAAATTTTTTTTACTTTTTAAAAAATTTTATTTTATCTAAATTCAATTAATTAACATATAGTGTATTATTAGTTTCAGAGGTAGAGTTTAGTGATTCATCATTGCATAGAACACCCAGTGCTCATTACATCACTGAGTGCCCTCTTTAATGCTCATTACCCAGTTACCCCATCCCACCAAAAATTCACTTTAAAAAGCTAGGACTGAGTAGCTGAGTGGCTGGACCTTTTGTGTGTATGCATGCTGGCATATTTTTAGAGATATGGAGAAGAAAAAGAACCCTCACAATTCTAACTAGTTGCCTAGATGGACTGGCTCCAGAGTGTTGGTGACTTCCTATTGGCACAGGCCACACTCACAGAGAGCTGGCGACACCTCTGAATAGGGACCTCTGTCCCGTCCCGTGAGGCACAGAGGCCCTCAGAATGTGGTGTGCTTCCTGATTGTGCCCCGCACTAGTTATGTGACTCTGGAACATCACTGCATTTCTGTAGGCCTCTGAGAAGAGCATAGCTGGAGGACGTCTTTGATGGGGGTATTGTCCTGATTAAACATGTTAATGCATAGGAAGCACTTAAGCCCAGAACCTGGGAGAGTTCTCAGTGAATGTTAATTGTAGTTGTCATTTACTGACTTCCTCTCTACCATTTAGGACCCTGGCCTCTGTAACAGAGGACCCAGTGTGGTAGCTTAGGGGGCCCAGTTCAGCCACAGTTGGGTGGCTCCCTCAATTAGGTCAGCCGACCTGGGTGTGTTCCATAGTCATGGATTGAAGCCCACATTCTAAGAATTTCCCCTCTCTGATCCTAGGAGGCCTCTTCAAGAATAACTAACCTGAACCTTTTTTTTTTTTTGAACTTCTAAATATTTTAGAAATGTGCAACTAACACATGCTAATGAAAGACTTGGGAAATACATAAAATGAAAAAATCACCCATAGATTCAGAATAACCCCTGTTAATATTTTGGAGTGTTTCTTTCAAATGTCTTCTTTCCCCTAGTTGAGGGTTATTTTTTTCAAAGTTATATATAATTTTATATCTTGTTATGTTCACATAGTTTTACAATTATTTTCCATTTGTTACCCTGCTTTATAAACATTTTAATTTCTAAAAGTGTTATTTATTGGTCCTCAATTTTTAGATTCAGGCTATTGACAAATCTAAGAATATATTGGTCTAATGATGACATAGTGTACCATTGCACAATTGTACCATATGTTCTTTAACTTGACCTTGATGTTGGACATTTAAGTTGTTTGCATTTTTCCACACTATAATAAATAAGTCTTTAAGAGCATCTTGGTACTAATAACCTTTTTCTGGTCTTTAGGATTATTTTACTAGGCAGAATGCCCAGAAATGAAGAGTTAAATGTTCTAAACAAAAGACTGCTGTCATCTAAACTGTTCAGGCTTTCAAGTGGAGGCAGAAGGATGTGGGGTTTCCCACCCTGCCTGCCCACTGTGTACCAGTGCCTAGCCTGGGATTGAACCTGTGCCCCGAGAATCTCTCATTTGGCCTATGGCTGTCTGATTCCTCATCTGGTGGTCAGGTCTTCTGTTCTTAATCTGTATTGTCCTGGCTGAGAGCGTATCACTGTATCCCCTTGCCTTGGGGACTATCACTGATGCCTGAGCCTTTCCCGCTGGCCTCAGAGATCCCCTGGCCCACAGGTCCCCATCCCCTGCCAGCTGAAGTGAGTACGCAAACCTTTTCTTGGCTACCTTCTGCCAGTCAGGCCATCTGCATCTGCTTCCCTCCATCTCTCTTCTGGCACAGGTATAAACAGGAGCAGGCCAAGGTCCAGGATGAGCTATTCCAGGTGGTGACGAGGGAAAGAGAGGCAGCCACAAAGCATAGGAGTGCATCCCTGCAGCGGGGGGAGGGCAGCATTGACCAGGAGAAGCAGAAGTCAACCCAGCTGGTGAGTACAGATCTTCCTGAGCTGGCCTTTTGTGCTCCAGCAGAGGTTAGGCCCTGGAGCCTGATCTGTCTGAAGCCCTGGGGCCTGGCTCCACCTTTGTGGAAAGGGTGTCTTTCTGGGGGACCAGGGGCTTGAGTTCTTATAGCCCTAACTCTACCACTGACTTGCTTTGCTACCTCTGGCCTGTGTTTTCAGCTTCTGGAGCGCTAGGTTATATGGTGAGGGCTGGATCATTCAGCAGTCTGGTCCCTCTCTCTGAAAAGTCACAGTTTTAAGTGGTATATGTACCAGGAGGGTGTGAAGGGAGAGTACTAGGGGCTTGAGGGCATGCAATAATGAGATGGAGAACACAATTTTTTAAAGGTAGGCAGCCTGGGTACAAATCCTAGCTCCCTGCTTACTACCTCGGGCCTGTCCTCCAGTGTCTGTGAGGCTTGGTTGAGGATCATGATGTTTGCACATAGGATTGCCCAAGGGATTAGGTGAGATAATAACTGTCCCGGGCTTAGCATGTGCCTGGCAGATTATAAAAAACGTACTGTTATCGCTGTTACTGTTATTAATGCCTTTAATTGATGGGAGACTATTAGTTAGGATTCTTTCTGCTGTGAGTGAAGGCTTTATGTCATAATCCCAGAAGTCTAGAAATGCCCCAGGCTTGACTAATTCAGCAGCTCACTGGCGTCATGATCCCCATTCTCCTTCTGCTCTGCTATCTTCAGTGTGCCAGGGTGTCCTCAGGCTAGACATTCCTACAGGTCAACGACAGCTGCCCCTGAACTCTGCCAGGTCTTATGCAGATGGGGACACACCCAGCAGAAGAAGAGAAAACTTTCCCGGAAGCCCCCAGCAGAAGGCCTCTGACGTGGCACTGGCCTGAACTGCACTGGGGGCCCATGGCTCAGCCAGTCCTCTGCAGAGGGAACAGGGAGTTCTGACTGGAGCAGGGGCTCTTTTCTAGTCCCACTGGAGAGGGGTGGGCATCCAGATAGAAGTTGGACTGATAGTAATAATTCTCCCAATTCCATTTCCATGTGGGAAAACCCCCACACAGCCTTGAAATTCTCTGACACCAGCTGGGTGTCCTCCAATTCAACTCCATCCTGAGACTCCACAGGGTAAGGGCTCAGGGCACAAGACTGTCCCCTCCCCACACTTCAGATACCTCTGAAGGCCAGGTTGTCATCTGTGCTTCTGGTTGACCGGTTGTGAATCAGAGGTTCCCATGATCCCCTTGTCTGACTGATTTGCTAGAGTGACTCACAGAGCTCAGAGAAACGTTTAACTTACTAAAAGGATTATGAAAGGATTTAACTCAGGAACAGCCAGATGGGAGAGATCCATAGGGCAAGGTATGTGGGGAAAGGGTGCAGAGCTCCCATGTCCTGTGCCAGCGCGCCACTCCCCCAGAGCCTCTATGTGCTCGCCTACCTGGAAGCTCTTCAGATCCAGTTGTTTTGGGGTGAAACTGGGGTGAGGCTTCATTACCTAGGATGACTGATTCAATCATTGACTACTAGTGATTGAACTCAGCCTTCAGCCCCTCTCCCCTCCCTGGAGCTCAGGGGTAGGACTGAAAGTTCCAACCCTCCAACCAGTGGTTGGCTCCACTGGTAACCAGTCCTCATCCTTCCGTGCAGTCCAAAAGTCATCTCATTACCATAAAGAAAGATACCTTTATCCCTCTCATCACTTAGGAAATTCCAAGGTTTTAGGAGCTCTTTTTTTTTTTTTAAGATCTTATTTATTTGACAGAGAGAGACACAGCAAGAGAGGGAACACAAGCAGGGGGAGTGGGAGAGGGAGAAGCAGGCTTCCCGTGGAGCAGGGAGCCCGATGCGGAGCTCGATCCCGGGACCCTGGGATCATGACCTGAGCCGAATGCAGACGCTCGACGACTGAGCCACCCAGGCGCCCCAGGTTTTAGGAGCTCTTAACAGTAAAGACTAAATATTTAGTTCTTATTTAAATCAGGATATCACAGCAAGGAATGGGGGCGGGGTGGGGGAGGGAAGAATGGCTGTAGCAGCATCTAATGTCATCTGCTTCAGAGGCCATGGCCAGGAGACGAGGAGCAGCCTTGCCCTGCCTTAGGTGGGTGGCCTGGTATACCCTGTGCTGCACAGAAGGAAGTTGCAGATGAGGTGAGATTACCATTTGGGACTGTGCCCTGGCTGGTGGCTGGGAGGAAGGCCTCTGCACAGATGTTGAAAGCTGCAGTGGATACATAACAGATGCTGGTTGAACTAGGCCCTCTGGGAAATATGAACAATACACCCTTGTCACCCTTGGGGAAGACAGACTTAAACCAAAAACTTAGAAAAAGGCCACATCGGTTTCAGTAAGTGTGAAGTGGAGGTAAAGATGTTGTGCTTGTGAATGCAAAGGCAGTGGTGTCAACTGCTGGTGGAAGACACAGCTTTGACCTCAGCCTTGAGCAATATGGCTGGGACCCCAGGCTGAGGGAGCAGCTGCGGGGAGATGGGTGGGTATGGAGGAGGTGACAGGACACAGTGAGAGAGGTGAGTGAGGCGTGAAGCCACTTTTTAGAAGGCCTTGGGCACCTTGCAGACTTGACCCACAAGATAGCCCTCCATGACTGAAACCTCGGAAGAATCCCTGGAGACCATGAGGATGGCGATGATGCGATCTGACTGGTGTTTTTGGAATCCTGTGGCATCCTGGTGAAGAGTCAGTTGGTACAGAGAGAAACTGGGGTGAGGATGTGGTTTTAGGGGCTCTGGCAGTTAGTCTCTGCAGGGCAGGTTGTTGTCACCCCTTTCCAGGGAGCCTGACAACCAAGTGGAAAGGACCCTGGTTCTGGAGGTGAAGGGTTAACCAATATGGCATGAGCAAACCCAGCTGGCCACCTGGGACAGTCACCTAGCATGGAAAAGTGCAGCCTACAGGTGTGGTGTTTCTTCCTTCTCAACGGAATGTGTTAATTACAATGAAAGAAAATTCACAGCTTCCCTTCTTCCACCTGTGAAGGAGAAGGCTGGGTCCTGTCTCCTCAAGACTGTCCTTGGAGGAGAACCTTTACTATCGGGAAGGGACTTAAATGACCTTCACTACAGCTGTGTGGGTTTTCTTTTTTAACAAAGGGCAACTTTAGAATAAAGAAAATAAATCTTTATTTGATCCCCCCTCCCCAAATTTCTGGATAGATAATGCTCTTCTGAACCTGAGTTCTTAGGGAATAGGGAAGCAAGTGACTTCCTTCATTTTGAAAATGTTTATTAACTACTTTTCTGGGTGTTCCCATTTTTTTGACTATTCAACATCCACCTCTCCATGGGGTTGGTGTCCTGTTTCCTTTTGGGAATTTACCTGTCTCCTGTTATGCGTTGTCTTGGTGGGATTGCAATCCCAGTGCCCAACTTCCTTTATGGAAGCCAGATCTCTTTTCTCGCCCTGCCATGGCATAGCCACCCCCGGAGGGCAGCCAGTCAAACCCTCTCTCTGGGGACTTAAGTTCTGAGTGAGTGAAGAGGCCAGGGTAGGACTGTAGCCCAGGCCTGCTCATCAGGATCTTCACGCAGTGAAGCTGTCTTCCTGTCTCCCACACCTCCACGGGTATCCGTCGGTTTCTCTCCGGTCCTCTGCCTTCTTGAGGATGGAATTGTCTGCTGATGACCCGAGGTCAACTCTCCTTTGCTTGCGTTAGCTGGAGTTGGTTTCTGTTATTTGGTGCTGTAACAGATGCATAGAGACACATGAGCCTGGTTTTGAAGGCTTCAGCCAGTCAATGCAAACAGAGAAGGGAAGCCAATTCCAGGCCCTTTCTGTAAGTCAGCAGGGGCGTGAGGCACTCACCTAGATGCTGAGGATGCTGAGCGATACCATAGCCACCCCTCCACTTGGGTTGTTGTGGCTGGCAGGGCCTTTTAGTGGAGATCATTTCAAAACTGTACGTGTGCTTTGGAGGATTTAAATAAAAGGAAAAAGATGGAGAAAGGACCTGAACAGAAGCATAGGGAATTTTCTTTCCTCATCTGAGCGTGCCATATGTACAGATTGAAGGAGCCTGCTGGGCAGGGCACTTAAGGCCCTAGTGTTTGGATCATAGCATGTTCTGGCCTTGGGGCCAGGTTGGACCCAGAGGTGGACGTGGTGTGGTCTCTTGCTGTATGAGCTGGCTGCCCGCTTCTTCTTGGGGCCGCCAATGTCTGGCCAGTGTCCTCAAGCCCTGCACCCTTGCACCTGTAGCCTTGTCTGGAGGACCTTTTCCCGAGTATGCTGAGTGCAGTTTGACATTTAATGTGCTCTTCTGCCCTCTCTTTGACAATATTGATTTTTTAATCCTCTTCTGCATGAGGGAATGTTTCAGCTCATTATTGGGAAAAATTAATAAAGCTAATGACAAGGAAAGGTGATAATTTTTATAACCTACTTCTGACGACAAAAGCGTTTCCGTTTCCTATCTAGTGCAGTAGTGGACTGTTTTTGAGTATGTTATGTGTGTTCCCTACTACTTGCAGACTGTAGAGCCCTGGATATAATTGGGGTGAAGGCCCTGTGTTTCAGTGGAGCCTATGTTAGTAAGGCATGCTTTCCTCTGAGTTGGGGGAGGAAGTTTGGAGTCCCAAATGTTCTAGAGAGAAATAAGAACAGAGCGGTTTCTGGGGCTGTCTTCTGATCGGCAGAACTTTACTTTAGGGGAGAATGAGATTTATGACCTTGCCTGTTGGGATTCCTGACACATTAGGTATGAGATTGAAGTACACCTGATGGAAAGCAAAAACTTTCATTTTCTTTTTTGGTGAGCAATTCTTTTATTATTTTCTGTATATATTCTCTACATGCCCGTTATGTTAGGCACTGGGTTCGTTTCTTGATAAGTGGAAACAAATGAGAAACAGCTTCTGTTCTTGAAAAGCTCTGTTCATTAGGGGAGGTAAGTATTCTCAGAAGTGACTGGACAGTGTCACGGTCTCAGACCAAAGGGATAGGAAAGCACTAGAGGAGGAAGGAGGTGGTGACAACAGACTCTTCCTGGC